TGAAAGAGCTCAGCTATTCCCTTGTGCCTCGGTGCAGAGTACAAGCCAATGTCATGGGCAGCCCAGACAATCTAGCAGCTCAAATCCCATTCCCACACCCTAACCCTCCTGTTTTCAAATACATAGTAAAAGGATTAGCTGTGCGGATCAGGCTGATGCAGTTTAAGCAGTAAGAGGCGTCTGGGTTTCACTGTTAACCGATTCCAAACACACAAATGCGTTTTATTTCAATTTTAACATGTGGTTAGGTTGCTGTATACAGAACATAAAGCCAGAACAACAGACTTTTCGAAGTGCTTTAAAGCAACTGAAACCAAGTTGATAACGTCAAGTGCTACAGGGACCTTAGCCTCCTTCTCCTCACCATGTTGAATACCCTGATGACACATGTCCCATTACCCAACAGGGTGCATCGCTACTGTTAAAAAGCTTCCAGCTGATGTTTTCAAAATCTTCCATTTCAGCCCAAAATCTACTGTGCCATGTAAATTCCAAATCCTTACACGCAATTTATCAGCAGACAAAAGATCACACAAGTTATTGAAAGAGCTTCTGTGTCATCCACATATTTTAAAGGTCACTTCGCTACTGATGAGAAGAAAACTGCAGGATTCACTCTCACAGAGAGAAGCTAATTGCTCAACATTTCATGTAAGTGTACTCAGACTCTTCCAAGCTGTTCATTACCACTTTTGCCCTGACTGTAATGGAATTATTTAACATTTAAAACCATCAGACACACTCAATCACAAAGCTCTGCAGACATCACTGCATTTAAAACGCCGCTTCTTCAAGCGCAGTAGACCAAAGAGCGCTGTTCATTTCCCGTTGTACATTCAAGTCAGAAAAACACCATGACTGTCACAGCACTTTCTGCATTTCCTAAGTCCATTGCAAATACTTGGATGCCTATCATATAATACGCCCTTCGTCATACTGTCTTCCCCCCGCCTTTTTCTGTCCACTGCTCGGAGCCTTGGTGTCAGTTCGTATCCGTGTATTACCTGCTTCTCCCTCTCACCTTTGTTTGCTCATTTCTTTAAACCAAGCCCTGGCATCTGCGAGTCGACTGTCTGACAAAAGCCAGCTATTCAATACTTCATTTACACCACATGAGGGTGTTTCAAGCTGTGTAGGATGCCAGAATTAATTTGGAAGTCCTCCTGTTCGGAAAGGAACCAAGGGGCAAACAGATACATTTGTTTTCTGCTGATTAAAAGTCTTACCAGGGCAACCTGGTGCGGGAGACTTTGACAGGAAAGAGATGAAACATCATACGTGAGAAACAGATGGAAGAGGAGTTTGAAAGACATAATCCGATGTTCCCTGAAATCAAATAATCTTTGCTGGGGACTTGCCCGAGCTTTGTCTTGTCCTTAAGGAATCATTTTAAATATAATATGATTTCATATTATTTCCATTAAAATCTCCTTAGACAGGATTAAGTAATCATTATCCCCCTGCAGAGCTTTTTAGAAGCTTTCCATTGGCTTATTTCTCAAAGTTAATTGCAGAGTCAGGAAGAATTACCTACTCACATGAACAATAAATAAAACAAAATTTCTCCTTTATATACAATTTCTTCTGGAGTTTAAGTGTACACGGATCTGTCTAATGATTGCCTGCTCTGATAAGTGATGATTTTAGATCCCGCAAAGGGCATGTAAGGTAATTAATACCCTGTTCTGGTTAGCAAGTATAATTTCTGTAGACAGCTTTTTAAAACAAACACATTCGTTCACACACAGCCGGAGCACTTCCCAAGGCTTTCAACATGGCTGCAACGAGGAAAGCATCTCCCTAAAAGGGAAAACTCTGTGGGTCCGATTGGAGGTGGGCTGTTCCGCCGGGAGATCCCAGGCGGCAAAGCCTGTTACCGGCGGCTGCAGGGCTGCTTCTCACATCCGCAAGCCACACTGAATTAGTTTACAGGACAAAAAGGTGCCTTGCAAGAAAAGACACTGTACAAGTAAAGCCGTGAG